CCCCTCACTCACTCTCACTGCCATGTATCTGTTATTCCATATATTAACCACCTGATCCCCTCACTCGGGGTCTAGTCTGTAACTCATTCCCGTGTGTCTGTTACTCAAAATATAACTAGCCTAGCCCTTGATCAAGCTGCAGTCTGGAACTCACTCCTGGGGGTGCGTTAGTCTTTATGTTCCTGCCAGGTCATTGTCAGTGTAAGAGGATTAGCCGACTACAGGGGGCTTCTGGGACCCTGGCACAATCCCAAAGAACAGGTTTGCTGCACGTTAACTACTAATTAACTAGTCGGTTGTCTGGCCAATGGCAAGACGCTTTGGTCTATTCAGCTCCCAACATTCTTAACCAGCGTTAACATGGAACATTACACTTTTATTTAGTTTGTTTAACTCTTGGTGGGATAAGCACAAGGAGGTTGGTGGACAGAGCTGGGCAGTTACCAGGCGGAGGGTCAGGAGATCCAGTAGCCTCATGAAGGAAGTTTCTAATTTTACCACCAACGGGAACCCCAGCACCAGTCCATCCTGCCAACCGCAAGTTATTGAGCTTTCCTCGATGCACACAGGTATCTGCACAGCTGACGGCATTTGATCTAGCCTCAGGGATTGCGGATGCCAAGGGCCGGGCGCTAATGGCAGTCCCAAACAGCAGTTGTTATTGCAAGACAACAAGGTGCAGGGCTGGATGAACACAGCAGGCCAAGCAGCATCATAGGAGCAGAGAGGCTGACGTTTCGGGCCTAGACCCTTCATCAGGAAAGGGGGAGGGGAAGGGGGTTTTGAAATAAATAGGGAGAGAGTGGGAGGCGGATAGAAGAGGGATAGAGGAGAGGATAAGTGGAGAGGAAACAAACAGGTCGAAGAGGCGGGGATGGAGCCAGTTATTGCAAACTGAGTGAGGCACTCAGGCTGTTGGCCTTCCCCTCAGCACTGGTGACAGGACAGGGGTCAAAATGCAACAATAAGAACCGTGCATTTGTATAGCCGGCTACGTGGTGTAGCAAAACTCTTTCCTTTCGGAGCGCAGTGCCGTACTGTAAAAAACACGGCAACCAACGTATGCACAGCAAGATCCCACTATGGCAAGGTGGTGATGATCAGATCATCTGAGGCAAAAACAGAAATTGCTGGCAAAGCTCAGCAGTTCGTGGAGAGAAATCAGAGTTAACATTTCGGGTCCAGTGACTCTTCCTCAGAATAGAGAGTTCTGAAGAAGGGTCACTGGACCCAAAACGTTAACTCTGTTTCTCTCTTTCCACAATCGCCAAGAAACCTGCTGAGCTTTTCCCAGAAATCTCCATTTTTGTTTTTGATTTCCAGCACCTTTGGTTTTTTTTTTAAAATCTGGTATTTGTGATGTTGATTGAGGAATAATATTGGTTCGGGCTGTGGTTTGAAACCACATCTTGGAATCGCTAACGTTCACCTCGGAGGGCTCTGTTTTAAGATCTCAATCAGAAAGTGGAGGCTACAGGGATGCAGCATTCTGTCAGTGCCCACGTTGGGGCACCACCAGCTCCTGAAGTGGGACTCGAACACAGGACCTCCGGATTCCGCAGTGACACCATTGGGCTGATATTTGGCCAAGCACCCAAGTGACAGAGGAGGCCAGTGGGCAGAAGGCTGTGTCAAGCAAAGCGTATGGCAAGATTTGGATTTCCTGGGATATTGGCAAATATTGGATATTGGCTCGTTCCTAATTGCCCTTGACCTGAGCATCTTGCTATGCCATTTCAAAGGGTCAGCAATTCACCTAGTGCCCCCTCTCCACCTTCTCCCTGTGCCTTCACACTCTTCCCTTTTTCAAATTATGGTCTAATTTCATTTTTCAATGGGTTCAGTTGAGTTGGGCAGGGCATCACAGACCCTCCATTTCATCTATTCTTTTGGTCGGATGTGAGTTTCATTGGCAAGGTTCAATCCCAATCGCCCTGTGGACTGAGTTCCTCTCTCAGCCATTTCAGAGGGCAGCTGAGATTCAACCAAGTTGCTGTGGGTCTTTTTTCTATTCGTTTGTGGGATGAGGACATCGCTGGCTGGGCCTAACATTTTGCGTACTGAACTAACTGTGGTCAAATTCCACCAGTCGCCATGGGAACTGAAACCATGCCCCCAAAGCACCAGCCTGGGCCTACATAATTGGTAGCCCAGAGCTATTACCATGACGTCACCCCAAACTAAGGGAATGACTCAACATCAGAATTCCTCTCTTGGAAAGAAGCAAATAATTAACACCAGTGATAAACTTTACCTTTTTTTTTGTTAGAGAATATCCTACTGGTTTTGTTTCCCTGAACAGTGACAATGAGAAACTGTACCAGACTCAGGGTGTTCCCTCTGGTCTGATCCTATCACAACGATGTTTAGTAACCAGCAGAGAACAACAAATGTTCAGAGGGGCAAGGTCGTTGGTTCTTCACTTCGCATTGACTCTCATTGCTCCAAATCAATCATATGGCTTTGGAGCAGATATAGGTCATTGGGCCCCTCAGTGCTAGCCCACCATTCAGGACTTACACAATTAATGGTAGGGCCTTGGGTAGTGTAGTAGAACAAAGGGATCTAGGTGTTCAGGTACATGATTCTTTGAAATTTGTGTCACATGTAGACAAGGTGGTTAAGAAGGTGTTTAGCACGCTTGCCTTCATTGCTCATACCTTTGAGGACAGGAGCTGGGACATCATGTTGAGGTTGTACAGGACGTTGGTGAGGCCTCATTGGGAATACTGTGTCCAGTTCTGGTCATCCTGTTATAGAAAGAATGTTACTAAACTGGAAAGGGTTCAGAATAGATTTACCAGGACATTGCCAGGAATACAGGGTTTGAGTGAAAAGGAGAGGCTGGATAGGCTGGGACATAATTCACTGGCGTGTAAGAGGCAGAGGGGTTGACCGTTTTTAGAGGTTTATAAATCATATCCCATGAAGGATATAGATAAGGGGAATGGCAGATGTCTATACACCAGGGTAGCGGATTTCAAGACTAGGGGGCATATTTTTAAGGTGACAGGAGAAAGATTTATAAAGGACATGAGGGGCAAACGTTTTACACAGAGAGTGGTTCATGTGTGGAACGAACTTCCAGAGGAAGCGGTGGATGCAGTTACAATGTTTAAAAGCCATTTAGATAAGTACATGGATAGGAAATGTTTGGAGGGATATGGATTAAGTGCAGGCAGGTGGGACTAGTTTAGTTTGGGATTATTGTCCGCATGGACTAGATGGACCGAAGGGTCTGTTTCCATGCTGTTTGACTCAATGACTCCATCATAGCCAATCTGATTGTTGACTCTGCTTCTCTTTGTATGCCTTTGACTCCCTTGATGGTCAAAACACCTCAAATTTCCGTTGGCTTGAGATGGGAATGGAACTGGAAAGTAATCTTTCAGGGTTATTGGACCTTGGTGCTATCGAGTGACTGCCTTTCCCTGGTGGGTGGAAGTCTGGTGATGCTTCCCTCAGTTCAATAGTCCACTGACACCCACTGCCCAGGTTCACACTCCTAGAAAGACTGGCACGTGGCCTGACTGAGGAATTGTTCAGTAGCTGAGCCAATGTTGTGGTGGGGATTTGGTGGGAAGCGAAGACAAAAATGGAGGTGGGTGTGGAATCCAAAAGGAATAAGCACTAAATCACCAGGGCCAGGCCGGACGGCGAAATCGATCTGAATTTTCAACAGGATCCCAAATGTCAGGGAGAGAATGTCTTAAATATTAAATACAGCGTTGCCTTGATCCTGCTCCTCATCTCTCATTGTCAGTTACCTCCATGTGTGTGGGCTTAAGGTCACGTCCTCTTGACCTCTGTGCAACCTCGGCGTGACCCTGGCCCATGAGGCACACAGATGGTTCCTCACGTCACTGTAGCATGATGTCATTCAGGTTCTCCTGGAGAACAGTGTCCTTGACAGCGTGGAAGACGAAGCGGATGTTCTCTGTGTCGATGGCGGTGGTGAAGTGGTGGAAGAGAGGTCGGCTGCGATCTCTCCGTTTGCGGTTGAAGCATGACAGGAGGTACTTCTGGACATCCTCCAGGTGGTGGGGCCGCCCCTCAAAGTCCGGGAAGTGCTTCTCGATGTTGACCGTCTTCACCTTGGCCTCCAGCAGGTCGGTCTTGTTCAGGAAGAGGATAATGGAGACCCTGGCAAAGAGCTTGTTATTCACAATCGTCTCGAAGATGTTCATCGACTCCACCAGGCGGTTGGTTCGCCGGTCCTCCATCAGGACCTGGTCAAACTCACTGGACGACACCATGAACAAGATGGAGGTGATGCCTTCAAAGCACAGGAACCACTTTTGCCTCTGGGAGCGCTGTCCGCCCACATCCATCATCCTGAAAGGGATGCCCTTGATGAGAAAGTCATACTCAACAATTCCCTTGGTTGCTCTCCGAGACAGAAGGATGTCCTGCTTGGTGGGTAGGTAATTCTGGAAAGAAAGCAAGGCACAAACTAAACCATGGCCAACCTGACAACCAAAACAATAAAGTTACATGGTGTAGCAGAGAACCAGAAACATCCGCCCTGTGCTACTACTACAAGCCTCTTCCACCACTTGTCACCTCATTATTTTTCAAGATGGCGGCAGAGTAGCAGCACAACATGCAGGCTCCTTAGCCCAGGAGCTCGTCCACTCGGCTTTTTTTTTCACTTTTTATTTTTTTTTGTCAAATGTTCCCATTTATTTTGGTACCTTACCTTCTTTTAACAAATTGGGCGGATGGCGTCATCTCCCAGCACAGGCCCAGTGACAAGGTCTGGAATGGCATTGCAGGCCTGGTGCCAGCGTGGACGGACTCCACTGTGTGGTGGACTCATGCAACCTTGGAGGTCTACTTTAGCGACTTTAGGGTGTTCCAGCAGTCTGGCGTGTAGACCTAGTCCTGTCAATGGGAGTCTCGTCTCGGCCCAGCGTGGCAGTTTCGGCCTGGTTTTCCACCCGACTCTGAACCCAGGGGTCATTAACTGAACTGTGACAAACTTCTACTTTTTCTTCTTGTTATTTATGACTTCTGTCATTAATTTATGTGTCATGGTATGGTGACATATAAAACTTTTCACTTTTCTTTTGTAAATTTGACAATAAGTTGCTATTCCTTTCCATTCTATTTCATGTTGTTATATTCTATTCTATTCTATTCCATTCCATTCTATTCCATTCCATTCTATTCCATTCCTGTCTATTCTATTCCATTCCATTATATTCTATTCCATTCTATTCTATTCCATTCTATTCTCTTCCATTCTATTCTACTCTATTCTATTCCATTCTATTCCATTCTATTCCATTCTATTGTATTCAATTCCTTTCTGTTCCATTCCATTCTATTCTCTTCCATTCTATTCCATTCCATTCCATTCCATTCTAATCCATTCCATTCTATTCTATTCCATGCTATTCCATTCCATTCAATTCTATTCCATTCAATTCTATTCTATTCTCTTCCATTCTATTCTATTCCATTCTACTCTATTCTATTCTGTTCTATTCCATTCCATTCTATTCCATTCCATTCTATTACATTCCATTCTATTCCATTCCATTCTATTCCATTCCATTCTATTACATTCCATTCTATTCCATTCCATTCTATTCTAATACATTCTAACCTATTCCATTCTACTCTATTCCATTCTATTCCACTCTATTCCATTCCATTCTATTCCGATCCATTCTATTCTATTCCATGCCATTCCATTCTATTCCATTCCATTCTATTCTATTCTATTCCATTCTATTCCATTATATTCTATTCCATTCCATTCTATTCTATTCTATTCCATTCTATTGTATTCTATTCCATTCTGTTCCATTGCACTCTATTCCATTCTATACCATTCCATTCTATTCCATTCTATTCTATTCCATTCTATTCCGTTCCATTCTATTCCGTTCCATTCTATTCTATTCCATTCTATTCTATTCCATTCCATTCTATTCTATTCCATTCCATTCTATTCCATTCTATTCTATTGTATTCTATTCTATTCCATTCTATTCTATTCTATTCTATTCTATTCCA